CCCGGGGCTCCCACGCCCACGCACGACCTGGCTGGGAAGCGCGGGGTTCGCGGCGCTCCCTCCTCCGGGCTGGACTCCGAGGCAGGCCCACTCAAGTTTGCTGCGTGAACGCTCATTTGATGTGTGCGGTTAGTGCTACGACTGGGCCTGCTTACACCTACGGGCCACCGCTGGCGGGGGCACCCCCAAGCGTGGAGACAACTTAATCACGGTCCCGTTCACTGACGTCTGAGGTTTTAAGTGGCTTAAAACGATCCTGACACCAGCTTGGCATCGGCCAAGGAAAGTGCCCAGGGGCTGAGCCAACTAAAACCCGGAGGCAAGTCCCCTGGAAGAAAAGTTCTTGGAAGTTAACTAGAGCCGTAGGACCCAGGCCCTCCCTTGGGTGCGTCCTGCGTCCTGGCTCATCCGAGGCCCGGAGGGAAGAAGGCTCATGGCAAAGGGCTGCTCTGGGCGGTTTTCCCGCGCACCCAGGGCCCGCGGAGGCACCCGGGGCTCTGCAGTTTCAGGCAGTTGAGAGCTAAGCAGGTAGGAATCCGACGGCTACATAAGCCATGTACCTGTCGCTTGCTGCCCATAAATCTCTCCCAGGAGCAGAGGGAAAACTCTAAAGGCTTTTATTACTCGCAGTCTCTGCGCTCCCAACGCCGGGCAGGTAGCTGTGGTGCCCGGAATGACTCTTGTTAATCACGGCGAAACACAAGGATCCTTTTATGACGCCAACAGTCGTTTTCTAAGCAGTTAAGCATTAGATGAGAAAATATGACTGCATTGCATTCGAGGGGAGAAAAAAAAAAAGCCCACTAGTAAATAAAATTCACATTGATGAGAATTCTCTGAACTCACTAATAAAAGGAGATTAGTATTATAACCCCTGCAGTCAATACTTTGCACGGCAATTTATGGATGCAAATAATATGCCATCACATTATTTCAAGTGTAGCTATAATTCAACGGACCTAAATCTTCTGGCTGAACTTTAAATGTAGAATTATCATCAAAATAATCAAAGGGATTCCTGGCTCTCGGAGGGTAATCGGGCGACGGAAGTCCCTGGAACAATATTTTTACGATGAAATTGCAAAGTGGTCGGCCAACCTGGCTGGGCCAGATGAGTAACAGCCTAGCCGGGCCTGCCAGCGCCCGGCCGCGAAGGGACCCGGCTGGAGCCATGAAAACCAAGCCAGGAGTCCAGGGGTTTTCCTGGTTTTCAAAAAACAAGTTCACCAGACCCCAGTCTGTGTGACTGTAAGTATCTCATGACGAGAGGGAGTTATTTATTAGGCTCATAAAGAAATCAGTCTTTTTGCCCTGGGCTTCAATATCCCCCCCCCTTTCCTGTTTCTCTGATTTTGTAGGAGTGGTGAAACGGGGAGAGCTTAGAGACCCCCACAGACACCTCCTTCCCCCGCGGATCCTAACGGGGATTCATTTCCCCTCGGCGGCCTCAGCCACCTCGGGGTCTGGGCGCGCAGAGAGTGGAAGCAACTCAGGCAGCGCCCTAATGAATTCTTTTCAAACCGCCTGCTGCCGGAGCCATCCATTACTGCGGCCAGAGTGGGAGCCCGCTCCAGACGTCTTTGTCCGGGCGGCGGTGGGAGTGGAGGAGGGCGGCTGGCGGCAGGGCCCTGGGGTGTTCTCAGCACCCTCCCCTTTCCCCCTCCGGGGACCCTTCGGGTGGGCTCCTGCATGAGGATATGGCCCCGGATTAAGACGTCCGNGAAGAGGGGCTTGGGGTGAGAGCTCTAGAAAAAGGAAGGGAGAGCTTCAAAGAATCAGGTCGATAGATTCATAAAGATCGATTTATCTTTATCTCCCAATTAAACGTGCTTGTAAGTGATACATAACAGCGGCCCTGCCACGAGCTCCCCGGCGTGCGCGCGTTGGTCACGACCCGTGTAACAATGCCCTTCGCTCCTCTCCTCCCGAGCCCGCTGCTCCAGCATCTAGGCCCGGGAAGCTGGAGCCGAGGCGCTGGAGGCGCGTGGAAGCCCCGCGCGCGCTGGCGCGCTTTGCACGGTCCGCCCCGGAGATGAAATGATGCCGTTTTTAAAGGGAACGCAAGAGCTGAAAGTTTTGTTTTTATCTTGGAGAAGGGGACAGGAACATTCCTAGACCCCCGCCCCCTCCCCGCCGAGTCCCTTCCTCCCAAAATCTGGGGTTTTACCGTCGTCGAGACGAGAGAAACGTCTGGAGGGAATCGGCTCCGTCCTGCAGGAGGCAAAGCGGAGCCGCGCGCCCTCGAGTCCTCGCGCTGGCAACCGGGCGGCGGCGCCGGGGTGAGCGCTCCCTCCGTTCTCAACGTGCTTAATTAGCGCCTATTTACAAAACGCAGCTTTTATTTGAGCAAACATCATAAAGCTTTCATCAGGATAATCTCACGTTATGCAATCTGGAGGCACAGTAACTCCCCCTTCCTCCCCGAGGATGGAGGCGATGAAGGACTCGCTTTATTATCGTAATTATCGTGGCTGTTATTTTGGTGCGCACAGGCAAAGTGTGTAAATAGGTGCGGTGATTAAGAATGTCATGAAAAATGAGAAGGGAGCGCTCACGGGAGGGCCCGGCTCGGGACGGGGGCACCGGCAGCCTCCCCGCCCCGCCGGAGCGCAGGGGAGGGGGTCGCGAGGAGCAACCCCGCGGGCTCCCCACGCACGCAGAGGCTGTCGGCTGCCGGGGAGCGCCCTAGGGGCAGATCTGAAGCAGCAGGGCCATGCCCCCAACTCCGGGAACCTCGCCCGCACCCCTAGAGCAGCAGCAGCACCCGGAGCTAGGGTGAGCCGGGAGCAGGTTTGTTCCAAGGAAGGTGAAGGAGAGAGAAAACGCCCGAGGCCCAGACGTGGCGGGCCCCAGCCCCGGAGCTGCCCTTGGAGGCGGCCTTGACGGGGCCGCCGGGCCGCGCGGTTTGAGCCTCGGGGGTGCCAACCGCCCCTTTCAAGTT